GTCTATACACCATCCCTATACATGTTCTAAAATTGAAATTTTAGTTTTAGTTCTCTACCAAATGGTTAGTAAGCCCGTTCTATCAAAACTAAAAAAATTGATAAATTTAATGGTAGTAAATTCGATATATGACATTAAAAAATAGGATATGCCCTTAATTATGATGATGCCATCAAAATTGTTGCTCCAACATTTACTGATATATCTACACTTGAAAAAAAAGACTAACATAGTGAAAGTCGAAAGACAAAAAGGTAAAAAGTCTTATGCTCATGTTCATGAAAGATAACTTGATCAAATATTTTGAAACTAACAAAACTTTCACGGATATGTGGAAAGCTATAAAAGAAAAATACGACGTTGTCTCTGAAGTTAACATTCACCTCCTCTTGCAAAATACAATTATTGTCGTACGCAAGAGGGAGACAACATTGTAGAGCATATTAATAAGATGTGTCATGGCTAAGCACTCATCCACTGCTGCGCCCAAAATCCCAGAAAGAATGTAAGTGTCAACCATTTTTAACAGTCTTCTCCCTTCCCTTGCTGTGACTACCACCACATTAAAAATGAACCCTGTAATTAAATCTGTCACTGATCTTTCAATACACCTAGAGATAGAACAAGACTTAATAGCTAGCAGGAAGGACCAGCACTAAACATAGTGCAGCAAGAGATGAATTATGTCCGACAAATGCATAATGCTGAAAGCTATAGAAACCTTGGCCCTGACAAACCACAACTATGAGGACCGAAATCACAACAGTTCAAAAGGAAAAAACTGCATGTAGAAAGTTGGGCATTTCAAGCTCACGTGCCCACAAGGTGAAATGTCGGAGAATAAGGGAGGCTATACGCATATAAAATAAGGGGTACTAGCAAAAGAGAATTCATTGGAGTGACGAAATGCAACACTACGATGACGGATATCAACAATTAGTATATCGACTATGGTGCGACAAGGCATATCGCAAAGGACAAGAATTGAGTCATAGAACTCATTGAGCTAAAGAAAGGTGAACAAATAATTTATATAGGAAACAATACATATTTCGATGTTGAAGGTATTGGTTCGTATAGATTGGACCTTGGAGACAGTGTTCATTATCAAAAATGGGTTCTACATGCCAAGAAGTCAGTGCAATCTTATCTTTGTGCCCACCTTGATGAAAAAAGGGTTGAAAATTAGGTTCTATAATAACATGGTTTCTATAGGTAAAAATAATAAAGTGTATGCTATGAAAAAATATGCAACCGAGTATGAATTATGTATCCAAGTCTGGATTATGGCATTCTAGACTAGGATATGCTAGTATTTTAAAAGTAAAAGAAACAATCAGAATGAACTTGTTGCTTGTACTATCTAATATTCAATTGCTACCATGTGAACATTGTTTAACAGATAAAATGATTAGAAAAACTTTTATTGATGGACAAAAGGCCAATAAACTTTTAGGGATGATACACTCAAACATTTATGGTCCATAAGTGTTAAAACTCATGGCAATAAAAAATATTTTATTACTTATATGATTATTTCAAATTTACACATGTCTAACTTATAGAAAATTGAAAGCTTTTAAATGCTTTAAGAGATATAAAAAAAGAATTTGAAAACCAACTTGGAAGAAAAATTAAAAATTTGAGAACTAATAGAGATGGGGAATATAACTCTAAAGAATTTGAGAGTTATTGTATTCAGCATGGAATTAATAGAATTAAAAGACATACAACAATATTGTATACACCATAACAAAATGATGTTGTTAAAAGAAAAAACAGGACATTACTGAATATATGTTATCTCATTCTGGTCTCTCTATAAGATTTTAAGGAAAAGCATTGCTAACTGTAAACTACTCTTTGAATAGAATTCTCATCAAGTCAATTGTATATGCACCATATGAGTTATGAAATGGGAGAAAATCTAATCTGAGTCAACTCAAGAAGTGGAGATCTGTAGTCTATGTTCTCATTCCATACTAACTTAAAGATAAGTTGGACTTTGAAATAGTGAAGTGTAGATTCATAGGGTATTCAGAAAAGTGTTTTAAGTTCTATAATAAAGAAAAGGGGTCATTGAAAACATATATACTACATTTATAGAGAATACATTTATAGAGAATCTAGAGGAAGATGAACATGTTCAAGAGGAAATTGAACCTCTAACTGTAATAGACGATGATTATTACAATGTTGTTCCCACTAATGATCTAGATATAATAAATGAACCTAACCTTGAAGATGATGAAATACCTATGGAAAGTGATGCGCCTCATTAACCAGTTGTAGGCAACAAAAGGCGAAGAACACAACTTTCATGGATGGATGATTATTATTTGTATTCATGTGAGCCATCTTATTTCTCGGTAGATGCAAATATAGAAGAACATGACCTTAATCTTTTCTGATGCGTTGAAATCGCATAAATCAACTTTATGGCTATAAGCTATGAGAAAAGAACTTGATTCTATAGAAAAGAACAAGGTTTGGGAGTCATGTGATCTACCGGAGAATAGAAAAGCCATAGGATGCAAATGAGTACTTAAAAGAAATATCGTGTAGACGGATCTATTGAAAATTTTAATGCATGATTAGTTGCCAAATGTTATAACCAAAAGGCATGAATAGACTTTTCGGAGACATTAAATTGTAGTTAAATTATCCATTATAATTATTTTGGCTATTGTTGCATATCTTGATTTAGAGTTATTCCAAATAGATGTTAAAACAACATTCCTCAACGAAGAGTTATGCAACAAGCTAAATTTTTTTAGGTGGAAGGACAGAAATATAAAGTTTATAAATTAATGAAATCTCTATATAGTTTAAAACAGTCTTCTAGATAGTAGTATCTCAAATTTTATGATGCAGTCACCAAACTTAATTTTATATAGAATAAATTAGATAACTGTGTACATGTCTTAAAAATTAAGAGCAAGTTTACTATATTATCCTTATATATGGATGATGTATTGCTCGCCAAAAATAACATGGAAATGTTAAATAAAATCAAGGCAGATCTCAGCGAAAAATTTGAGATGAAAAACATGAGAGTTGCATCATATGTTCTTAGAATTCAAATAATTCGAGATAGAAAGTCTAGAATGTTAAATTTAAATAAGAAAAAATATTTAAGATCAATTCTTAAAAGGTTTGGAATGAAGAATTCTAATACTACACCAACTCTTATTGGTTATGGAAAAGAAATTATGTAAATAGCAAAGCTTTGAAGAGGGTAGAAGTCATTAGATGTTCTCTATGCTCAAACAGTTGAAAGGTTGATGTATGCAGTGTTGTGCACCAGAACTGATTTAGCTTATGATGTAAGTCTGATTAGCCGATATCAAAGTAATCCGGGACCCGCACATTGAGAAGTAATTAAAAGGATTATGAAGTACATCAGAGGCATATTGACTCACAACTTGGTATATCAAGCTAGTTCGTTTGATCTCCTCGGCTACTCGGATGGTGGTTTCGAGGATAAAGATGATAGAAAGTCCACTTTAGGATACTTACTCATCTTTGGAGGAGCTGTTTCTTAGAGTAGCAAAAAAACAAGGGTGTGTTACTAGATACACACAAAGTAGAATATGTAGCTTGCAATATGTTAACTACGCAAGTTGTTTGGATAAGACGATTTTTTATTGATTTAAATCTCAATTTGTTAGAAGGACACATTGATATTTATTGTGATAATCAAGCAGCGATTAGCCTGATCAATAGTGGTGCTAATATCTCCAAAAGAAAACACATTAAGATCCAGTTTCGTTATATTCAAGATATTATAGAAAAGGGAGAAGTTAAAGTGACTTACATCCATCCTACATATATGATTGTTGACGCTTTGAAAAAAGAAATACCAGCAGAATCTTTATCAAACATGTGAGTTTGATGGGATTTAGGAACAAATAAGTTCAAGTAAATTTGATGAATAATAAAATAAGTGTTACTCTGTACGGATAATGGGAGTAATGGTAAGAAGGAAAACATCTAATCTCACGGACAGTGGAAGGCATATCACTCAGTTAATTTGGTCAAGTAGAAGATGTTATTTTGACTTGGTCAGTGTGACCAAGTCAACCAACACAGCTATCCCAGTGAATTGAGATAATGGACTGTTGGAACTTGTTAGGTTGTTAAACTGATTTCAGGAGAGAAATCCGTTTGGGGACGGATTTTTGGGGTAGGGTGATAGTAGACATTGCTGTATAAATAGAGACGAAAACTCCCTTGGAACACAGTGAAAAAGAAATATCTACAGTGCCCCCAAAAATCTGCCCACAAACTGATTCCTCTCCTGAAATCAGGATAACAACTTAACAAGCTCTAACAGTCCATTACCTCAATTTGTTGAGATAATTGTGTTGTTTGACCTGGTATAGATTAGGATTTAATTAAATATGTGGTTTATTTATAAATAAATAAATAATTAAATATTAATAACTAACAATAACTAATTAATTTAGATTAAGAAATAACCTTATATAATCATTAAATTAATTAATCATATTAAAATTTAACAAATAATTAATTTAGATAATAATTAACTATACATTAACTAAATTATATTAACAAATAATTATATTATTTTAAATTAATTATACACTGACTAAATTTAATTAACTATAAATTAATTATAAATTAACTCTAAAATAAAATATATTATTATAAAATTATAAGGGGAAGGTTAAGGGACTTTAACCTTCCCCTTAGTTTGGGGAGGATGTTAAGGGACATGGGGGTGAAGGGGGAAATTTTCGGCCCCTTGGAGCTCATCTCCCTTAAAAACCCCAAATTTAACTAAGGGGCCGGATTTTTCCGGCCCCTTGGAGATGCTCTTACCGTCGATGATAAAATCTACAAAAACAAAAAAAAACAACAGAGGAAGAACAAAACCAGGCAATAGAATCAGTACACTGCTGTAATTTCCGTCAAAAGCTTAAAAAAAACACTGCTAGAGACATGTGAAATTGTAGAGGAGGAGGAGACCAACGGACCCTCTTGAAGCCAGGCTCCATGCTTTCGGATAGAACCACAACTACGGGTGAGTCGCTCCTCGTCACATATACCAAACTCTTCCATATGATCAACGCCGAAGATACAATTAGCCCTAAATTACATTGCATCGTCACATATACCAAACTCTTCCATATGATCAACGCCGAAGATACAATTAGCCCTAAATTACATTGCATCACATCAAATATACACGTACGCAACTGAGAAGCCATAATATCTAAGGAACAGAACCAAGAAATTTAATTTTAGGGGGGGGTGCACATACCGAGATTAGTGATACCTTCAAAACTAAGTTATGTGCAATCAAATTACGGAGAGCACAGGATCAATTTGGTCGTGTCGGGGTATCACAGGGGTGCCACCTTACATTCAATCAAGTGACACCTTCAAAACTAAGTTATATGCAATCAATTTACTTGATTCATGATCTATTTTGTTCATTTTGATCTATATATTTTGGATGATATACAAACAAAAAATTAGACATATCAGGTTATAGTTACACATGTATCAAGTGATTGTAAAGTTAACAGTTTTACAATAATACAACTAAAGAAACATTGAAATAATGTGTTAGAAGTATTGAAACATCATGATTTTAGTTTTGTAGATGCTTTGAAACATTTAGATCATGATAATAGAGCATATCATCCATTGGAATAGTTTAATAAGAGGTGTCATCTTAGATTGAATTAAAGTTGGCACCTTAGGATTCCTTTACACAGGGGGGGAGGACCAAGGAATATGGGTATCCTTAATACCAAGGACCACTGTTATAAATAGCGGTAAATAGCCCCACAATAGCGGCGTTAATAGCGTTACAGATCCCTTCCCGCGATGCTATCGCCCGCTACGCTATTGCGTAATAGCAGTGACATATTGCGGAACATGTCTATTCGCAAAAGCAGCCAATAGTGTGTCATAACGGTAAATAGTGAGTGATTGCATTCGAAATTTGCTTTTTGACTGCTATTTAAAAACGGTTTGAGGCTTATTTTTTTAAAGTTAAACTCAACCCTTGACCATTACATTCCACCGTCTCCTGTGATTTTCAGCATACTTCTGCCACCTCTCATAGCATCTAGCACCTATCTTGATACTTCCTCTCATCTCCTTCACCGTGAGCTACTCTTAGGGCAATCATGTCACCGCTAAGCTCTTTTTCTCGAAGACGACGACTTTTTAACTTCTCTAGTCATCTTCGGTATTACGTGATAGTTACATGTCTATTTCATGTTTAGGATCTCTTTAAATCATCCAATATGTACTTTTAGATTTCTTAGATTTTTTTTAATTTTTTTTAGTATTTATACATATCTAAATTAGACTGTTATTTGACTTTGCGCTTTTTACCGCTATTTTGCCGCAATAGCCTGAAATAGCCTTAGCGATGCCTCACCGCTACGCGACGCTATCCGCTATCAATAACCTTGATCTTAAAAGAACGGATTGATTCAACGCTGTCTCCGATCAAACCCATTCTTGATCTCCCGCACTTGTAAATACCTCTCCCTCACTTGTAGTTGAAGTATTTGGAGACCGGCGTTTCCAATACAACGAGACCAACCAGACAGAAGGGGGAACTTCCGGACAATGCGGCAGATTAATTAATATATAAAGCGGTTTTGGACTTTCGGATGAGTTTTCTAATTGGGGACTCGTGCAGGCTTCAGGGATGGCAACGGGTCGGATAAACGGGTAGTGGCCCGGTTTGTTTGGGATCACTCTAACTCGTAAATTTTCTTTTTGTATTAGATCTTTAATATCTTGAAGTTATTCCCTCCTATTTCCTTGAAATTGCCATTTGGTTCCTCAAATCTTAAGGCGTTTTGAATTTAATACCTCAAATCATGGTAGTTGCTATTAGGTCCCCCAATTCTCGAGTGATTTCCAGATTAGTCCCTCCAATTAGGAGCATAAATAAAGGGATTAGTTGGAAGCAACTTATGAGAATTGGGCAGCATGATAGTCCATAACAATAGATTCTTCTCCTAATTGGAGGGACCAATTTGGAAATAACTCAAGAAAACCTAATTGCAATTTCAATCATTCGAGAAACTAATTTCACAATATGAAAGATTTGAGGATTTCAATGATTTAAGGAACTAGATCAAAATATGAAAGATTTAGGGGACTAACATCTTTCTTTTTCTGTTCTTTCTTTTTTAACTTTGCCTAGGCAATAATACATGAAACCTTAACTAGTATTATATGGTGTAATAATATAACAAAAGTTGATCGTAGGAAATACCATATTGAACATTTGTTGTAGGAAATTAACCTCAAGTGAGATGCTTGATAGATGTACTTTTATCATACGGAATGCATTTCCAAATGCAAATTAAAGGTTTGATTAGTTGCAAATTATTTCTTCCAGGAGATGTATAAATTTGCACATTAAGCGCATGTATATATTCATCGATAAAATTGATCTATCTATCTATATATATATATTTATTTTTTTTGAAATTTCGCACATAAGAGCGTAATATAAATATATGATTTGAAATTTAACATAAAAACTAAAATTAAATTTGAGGAGAAATCAGGTAAAGAGGCCCTCTTCAACCCCGGCAGAATTTCATTTATTCATCAAGAAAATGATTGATTTCATCTCTCTTTTTTATGAAAGCGTAGTCTAAAATTCAGTAAAGTGTGAAATATCTCGAAATTGCGAATTGGGAAAGAAGATGCATCCACTTTTTAGCAGGAACCTAATCAGCAGAAAAATAGCTTCCAACACAATTTCGTGGGGCCAACCTTTGAGACAAATACCGTTCCTAGCATCAACTCTACATTTGGGATAGGGTCCCATAAACTCAAATGGACATGATGCTAGATGTTACTGCTCTATGTTCGGGGTCCAGAAACGCTTCCTGTCCGAACAAGATTCCAACTCAACAATGCATCAAGCGTTTGACGCCGATTAAAACGGAACCAAAAGGCTCAAGTTATCAAGTATAACATTATCCGAGATCTAACAAATCTAATGAGGTACAAAATACACCGCCTAAGATGTTTTCGGCAATGTAACAAATCTGGTAAGGTACAAAATACACTGCTCACGAAGAGAACCAACTTAAGACGACAATTCCTCGAGGCAATGTACCCAACTCAGGAGGAGAACGCTCTCCTTATTTGTCAAATCTCCACATTTTAATGTACTTCTCATTATGAGTGGTGACAATCTTGTTTAGCCCCACAGCAAGACAAGTGATAGGAGGACGCAGACTTCTTGGAATGCTATCGACATGAACACCTTCTCCCAAAGATCTAGCTCTTTTAGTCTCAATGGCCTTTGAACTTGTTGTCGAGGAACCTGATGATGTTGAATCCATCAAGACGCTTGAAAGAAACTCACCAGTGTTTTGATCCACAAGACGAAGTATACCATCAAGTCCACCAAGAGCCAATGTTGATGTATCACCTAGTAGATGATGAACAGAGTAGATGACGTTTGGACTCACTCTCGTCTCCCAGAGTGGTCTTAAAGTCCTGAAATCAGGTAATCGTGACATCGGATCAGATTAGGTGTAAATCTCAACTATAATTAATTCTTTTACGATGAGTTCGAGATTTAAAAGAAAGAGAAAGCAAAAGAAAGCATAAATAGCACTTAAATACCTAAAGATTATCTCATTTGTATAACATACTTTGAATGGATGCTTGCTGCGCTTTTATACTTACACCCAAACAAACCCCCCACCCAAAAAGCATCAACTCTGTCTCTTGATAAATACATTGACCTATTTCTGTAACTTAAGCACGTTAAGTGTCCCCTTCTCTCTGCTTCTCCCTCTTTCAAATTCAATTGACACATCCATAAAACAAAGTTAGGAAAAAAAATTCTGATCTAAGCTTAGATCTACAAAACGTATCCTTCTCAGAAGGAGTTGAATGCAGTTCTTGGCCAAATTACAAAGTAAATCACCAGCTGTCTTTAATGGCTACTCATGGTATGAGATACGATTGTGCAATACCGTATTGTCACTAATTCTTTTGAAATGAGATCAACATCTTGCTTTTCTTAAAGAGAAAAAAGAAAAGGAAAGATCAGAGCCAGTTTCAAATTCAATTATTAATGTGTTATGTACTAAACAAAAAGAATATGTAGGAGAACAGAGTATGACTATAATGGCATTGATACGGATACGTAAAGCAAACACCTATAATGCACCAGCGTGCTTTTCTATGAAGGAAGTTGGGCAGATATTATTGAAAAGGACTAATCACAATCTGGTACCTTGAAGTATTTGTGTAATTACCTAGGTGACCCTGGAGTTTGTGTACCTACATGGGTAACCCTGATGTGTTACTAATTGTAATTACATAGGTAACGCTTGCATTTCCTACAGGCTCTAGGGTCACCCATGTATTACAATTAGCAATCTTAGACTCCAGGGTACTCGTGTAGATTCACAAACTCCAGGGCTACCCTTGTAATAACACCATACCTCAAGGTACTGGGATGTAATTAATCCTATTAAAAATTAATCATGAAAGTGATTTCTCTCTTTGGTTAATAGAGGAAGTATGTAAAGAGAAACTATGAAAGTTATTCATTGATGAAATTTAATAACAGTTGTAGGTATTTAAAATGAAAGGAAGAAATTGGTGAACAACAAATCTAGAGTAGGCTGGAAGGATAACGTGGTAGGCAGCAATTTTTTTAAGTCAAATGGAAACGTTAAAGTTTGTAGTAGTATTACTAATAACAATCTGGCAAAAGAGACAAGGGCTACAAAGTTAATACTGACCTAAGATCCCAACAGTGAGCATAACCAGCAGTTGATCCAGCAAACAGTAAATGAGAATGCATATTAAAGTGCAAACTCTTGATACCTGTTTACAACAGTTGAATTCAAAATCAACAATGTTATTGCAGATGAACCAAAAAGAATGTTAACGTAAAATTTATCTTCATTCGAACAACTCTGTCTAAAATCTATTACCGCAACTATATTAGAACTATTATAGTGTCAATTTCAGTGATACATGTAGACTAGGATATGAACATGCTTAGAAGACGAACTGTCGATTTTTTATATTAACTTCGTAACAAATATATTGGAGGATGGTTTGAGCTTACAGGAATGGGTTGCATGCTTTAAGACTTACACAAGATTGATCAAGCCAACGCGACATCAAGTGAAGATGTAACAAAGGGTGAACTTTTAGATTCACCAGACTTTTAACTCGTGCAAATAAACTTGAATAAAGATATTAACATTTAGACTTCCAACTAAAAGTGCAATGTGGTTTGATAACCAGATGCATATGAAAAGCACAAAAGTTAGTCGATGTTAAAAGTACTATTTTTGGTTCATTATTTTCAGAAGCAAAAACATAGAGAGAAATGAAAAAGGGCCAGAAATTACTAATAGAATTCTACTTTTCATGCGTTACACGCTGCTCTTGACATTGCATTGTAGAATTTGCATGAGGATCACCTGTAGGAGAACATGACGATTTTAGTGATGCTAGTAGTTCACCAGTTGAAAGGTCCGCAACAGAAACAGTTCCAAATGTGGAGCCTCCAAAAATCAATTGGTCTTCAGTTAAATCAATGCAAGTAAGTGGCCCACCATGCATCCTGCAGTTTAATATATCCAAACCAAATTTACATTAAACAGTGGTCAGCATGGTTATCACAATGTGTGACACATTTTACCAATTTACATAGACAATAAGATATCAGAGAATTAGAAGAAAAACAGAAAATTACATTCAACAAGGGCATGAGAAATAAAATATCTAGAACACCTCGTTGGCTGACAAGGCTAACCGTTAAAACATTCTAAAAAGAATAAAGTTATTTTGTATATATTCCTTTTGAAAGTTAGGATTATTGCTCATTAATCCAACAAAAGTTTGTAATCCCATGTGTGCCCTTAAAAAGTAATAAAATTCCTTACATATTTCTAAAAAATTCTAAATTTTACTGTTTGGGTCAGAAATTGCTGTTTTCATTGTCATAGAATCTATTACAACTTTAGCCGTCACAATAAACTCAAATAAATAAAAAGTCGATCTTTTTATAAGATCTTCTTACACAATGAAAATATAAGATTAATAAACTCAAATAAATAAAAAGTCGATCTTTTTATAAGATCTTCTTACACAATGAAAATATAAGATTATAATTCCTTCAAACAACACACAACAGATCTTCTTACACAATGAAAATATAAGATTATAATTCCTTCAAACAACACACAACAAATGTTTATCGCCTGTTGTTTGCGTGTGATCTTTGCCTGTGCCGGGGACGTTGATATCCGTGGACCGTCGAGGATCAGATCCGATGGACAGATTAAAAATCAAAGCTCCTACTTCACGAAGGAAGTATTCGCTGAAGTGGTAATCCCGACCAAGCAAGATTACGACTCTTCTCGGGATTTAAGACCAAGCTTAAATTCGGAAGAATATGGGAGAAAGGGGTTTCTGATCTCTCGAACTCTCTATTTGTTTATGGAGAAACTTCGCCAAGATCTGCTAACCCTCTGAAATTCGTGGCTTCACTCTCAATTTTGAAAGCACCTCGCCCTCTTGATGTCCGCCCCATGAAATGAACCCCTAGGTCTGTATTTATAAGCTTCGGTTGGGGGGTTTTCGGATAAGAATGTTAGATTCAGCTCTATCTTCAGTTGATACCCGTATAACCATATTTGTGGATGATATCCAATCAGTTGGAACACTCAGGAACAAACAAATCCCAAGAAAACCCATCGAAAACCGTCAAAACGCGTTTTCGGACAAAATCTGCCGAACCGGGTTCAAATGAACCGAACGGGTTTGGTTCAGGCGCGAACCACCATTTGGTGGTTTGGCCAAGTGGTGGTTGGTGGCTCGGCCTGGTCCGAGCCACCAATTGGTGGCTCGGCCTTGGCCGAACCAGTTCGTATCATCTCGAGTATTTTGACTCTAACTCTCTCGTCCGATCTCAAAATGAGGTGATTCAAGATGCGTTGGAAAGCTGACGAAGAGGCCTACAACTTTTATCTTTTGAGTTTCTTCAAAATCAAATCGCATCATGGTCGAAATGTCACCTCTTTGTGCGAACCATACCAAATGGTGGCTTGCAGCCTTGCGAGCCAGTTTGTACCATCTCGGATATTTTGGCTCTCTCGTCCGATCTCGGAATGAGGTGATTCAAGATGCGTTGGAAAGCTGGTGAAGAGACCCACAACTTCCAATGGACGAGCCACTCATGGTGTGGACGAGACACAACTCCTGGCTGAGTTGTTTTATCGTTCCGCGTGTCACGTTAACTCGTACGCTTCACTGATTCACTTCATACATTTCGTTAACTTGGAGGTGGCTAATGAATATGCAAGCCACTTGGAAGTGGTCGGTAAGCGTGTTGACCACTTGGAGCTGACCGGTGAGCACGTGGGTCACTTGGCGGTGACCGGTGAGCACGTAGGCCACTTGGCGCTGACTGAGGAGTGCGCGGGCCACTTGGAGGTGGCTGGTGAGCGCACGGACCACTTGGTTCACTAATTCGCTTCATGCGTTTGTCGGTGTCAGATGATCCTCTTTGACTCGGATAATCCCCTTCGACTTAGACAATGACGTTCATCGCCTTCTCTTTGTCTCGAGCTGCCACTTGGAAGTGGTCGGTAAGCGTGTTGACCACTTGGAGCTGACCGGTGAGCACGCGGGTCACTTGGCGGTAGCCGGTGAGCACGTGGGCCACTTGACGTTGGCTGACGAGTGCGCAGACCACTTGGAGGTGGCTGGTGAGCGCACGGACCACTTGGTTCACTAATTCGCTTCATGCGTTTGTCGGTGTCAGATGATCCTCTTTGACTCGGATAATCCCCTTCGACTTAGACAATGACGTTCATCGTCTTCTTTTTATCTCGAGCTGTGTGCGGATACCTATAGGTATTTTTAGACGCCTACAGACACCCCCTCCAAAGTGTTTCAGCCTCATTCCTTTATAGAAGAGTCTGAAATACTTTGGATGTGATAGGTCCCACCTTCAGTCGGTGTCAAAGAACCTGTAGCTGACTTTAATTCTTGACTTCTTCAGCCTTCCTTTTATCCAGTGTTTTGTTGAATAGATGAAGTTCTTCCGGCGCTGCATTTATCGTCTGACCGTTGTCAAAATCTTGAACTGAAGTTGGTGCGTAAGTTTCTAAATCTAGCTCTTGTCATTGAGTTGACGTTAAACTGATCATCTTCGTCGGTAATTCATATCTAAATGTGATTGAACTCCCTGAAATCATCATTTGCCTTATTTTGACGAGATTGCTGATGCGTTGATCGTCATTGACCTTTACTGTAACGCGTTAACCGGCGTTAACACAGTTCATACTCGTACGTTTGCTGGAGTCTACACAGTTTAAGCTCTTCAGACATTGGAGCGTGACGGTCCTAAATGTTGGGGCTGCAGGACCAACTGTTAAAACTGATTCATCTGCATGTATGGTTCTTATTCTGAAGTTGTTGGATGTTCAAGTCACGAGACCAACTAATGGGGCTGGTGCGTCAATGACTCTCACATTTATAGGATTTTTGGCAAACACTCGGCCATCAACGGGTTTGATGAGCCTTTACCGACTACCGTTTGAATCGGGCTAGCATGTGAATTGTTTAAACCAGTTTTCACATGTAACGTTATGCTAAGAGAGTTAACTTTCTTAGTGCTACGATATTGAATACGTAGATTTCGTCTTTCTCACGGGAATAGACTATCCGGCAACGCGTGTTAGACGCTAACTTATCCCTATTTAGGCTTCGGGATAAAAATCCCCGGACTCGGATTCTGGTATCTTCTTCAATCGGTGAAAGACTAAATCGGCAACGCGTGTTAGACGTTGATTTATCCTTTCTTAGGATTCAGGATAAAATTTCCCGCGCATATAAGGCGCGGATTTTGGTGTTATTAATAACTTGCCACAACGTCGAATATGTCGGCTTTTGTTTTTTTTACGGTCAAGGACTTACCGACAACGCGTGTTAGGCGTTGACTTATCCCTACTTAAGCTTCGGGATAAAAGTCCCCAAACTCGGATTCTGATGTCTTCTTCAATCGGTGAAAAACTAAACCGGCAACGCGTGTTAGGCATTGACATATCCCTACTTAGGATTCGGGATAAAATTCCCCGTACGTGCAAGGCACGGATTATGAGAGTTGCTAATAACAACCTGCCACAATGTCGAATATGTGGGCTTTTGTTCTTTTTACGGCAAAAGACTAACCGATAACACGTGTTAGGCGCTGACTTATCCCTTCTTAGGCTTCGGGACAAAATTCCCCAGACTTAGATTCTGATGTCTTTTTTAATCGGTGAAAGACTAAACCGGTAACGCGTGTTAGGCGTTAGACTTATCCCTACTTAGGATTCGAGATAAAATTCATCGTACGTGTGAAGCACGAAATTTAGGAGTTATGATGTTAAAAGATTATGTCTTCTCTTGGGACAAAGACGAACCCGATGCGGGAGAGTAAGAATTTTATATTGTATCTCTCAAAACTGAAGAAGAAGAATTTTATATTCTATCTCCAGTTACCAACGAAACCTCAAAGTGGGATCTCCACTTTCAGAATCCGAGAAGATAAAACTAAGAGTAGGATCTCCACTCCGAGAATCAAAAAGATTCGGATAATCCTAACTGTCAAAAAGTTTGATTACCGAACTAAATGTGGGTTTCTCGTTTATCAAGAGTGAATTACGATTTTGGCTCTAACTGTAGGAATGTTTAACCAAATGGGAGGTTTGAGACGAACCTAACTGTAGGAATGTTTGATCGCTCGATTTAAAAGTGGACCTCTCGTTAATGAAAGGAATCGAGAGGAGATTTTGGTTGTGATCCTAACTGTAAAAATGTTTGACCAAGTGAAAGGTTTGAGACGACCCTAACTGTAGTAAGGTTTGATCGCTTGATTTGAAAGTGAGTATCTCGTTCGTGGAAGTAATCGAAAAGAGATCTTGGTTGTGGCCCTAACTGTAGGAAGGTTTGACCAAGTGGGATGCAGTGAGAGTGGGAGTATAAATCATAGTGGGAGTGTTGACTTGTACCGATCACTCAGTAAGGATTCTTGGTACTAAGTGATAAGAACTTAACACGAAGAGGTTTGACAATCGTCAAGGATTGGCAGATTAAAATTCCAAGCATTATGCCCTGACTCTAACAATAGGAGTGTTGAGTGCACAAACACAGTGTGAGTTTGAATGGATTAAACCAGAAATAATTTTAGTGGACCCACTGTCAATTAATTTGATCAGTGAGGGATTTTGTAGTGGAAGATTGTAAATTGTCAACAGTGGAAGTTTTTTATGAGGGAAGATTGATCCAACAAAGTGATCAAATCTCGTCTCAGCAAAAGAGTGCTTGAAAGTTGGTGAAACTGATCCCGGCAATTGGATGTGTTTCACTCTTGGAAGCATTTAGAGTTCAAGTGGGAGTTTCTTATTCATCCCCTTTTGTAGCGACCGGGTTATCCCTAAGAACACCACATATAGCATTCTTTTGGAAACTTCCAGTTACATCCACCCCCAGCTTTCTTTGTGAAACTGGATCTAACATTGTACTCAGCTGAATGGTCGGGTTATCCTTAAGAATATCACATATAATATTCTT